CTGTCAGGTAGAACGAAAAGACTAATTTTAGATGCACGAAACCATAATATGGTAGCTTGCACCGCTCACCCCCTCCACTGCCTACATGGTATGGTGTCTTCTTTCCGCAAATGCAATTGTCTAGCTCTTGGGCGTCAAAAGCTATGTTGAGGAGTCGTAACTCTATGAAATAGGGCTTTATCATCTGAATCGTGCTTTCCTGCATAAAGGAAATCATTCTCCAGTTGAATAAGTTTGCTATTCAAATCAGACGTAAAAATTAATCGTTTCCATCGCCATCTCACGGTATTACGGTGGGCAAAATTTTCAATATTTAGACGGTGAATGTTTGAATGTTAACTGGCGGTTAGAGTTCTGACTCGGACACAAAGTACGCACTGCTGAAGAATGCCAACTGAGACGAAATAGCTGTCCAATGATCTTCGAGGGTGATCACAAAACATGCCGTCGCAACTAAGGAATTTGAAATTTAATTTCTTTGAGTTTCTGGCATTATAGTTCAAAAGAAGAAATGAGTTGAGTGCTACATTTTAGGTGTATGGTTGGGAACAGATCTGTCTTTTTCTCAATAGTGTGTGATACTGCTGTGGAAATGCTATAAAATTTCTTATTGTTCTCTGTGAGAATGAGGATTTTGAAGTAGCATTTTTCAATACCTTGTGCACAAACTTTTCAGGTTCATGCTCGTCCTCGCTAGTAACCAGCCGGAGCAATTTGACTGGGCTATCAACGACCGAATGGATGAAATTGTCGAATTTGACCTACCCGGGTTGAGTGAGCGAGAACGACTCGTTCGTCACTACTTTGATATATACCTGTTACAACCGTCACTTGACAGTCGTCAGCGCATACGCCTTGCGAATAACATTGACTACGCAGGCGAATGTACTGAGGTGGCTCGTCGTACCGAAGGATTCTCCGGTCGAGAGATTTCAAAAATTGCGGTAGCTTGGCAGGTAGGTACTGATCTGAAAACCTCAGATGTATTGCCTCTCGGATTTGAGATAGATGATCTATTCTACAGGTCAGCTTGTTTACGTGAATTTCAGAAAAAAGACTTCTCTATTGTTCGTAATCCTTCTTCCTGACTGTCGGTCATTTCTACTTGACTTTATTCACGACCTGAAGTTCTCAGCTCTGGTTGTGAATTCATTAAGAAAGTTCACCTGCTGTGGCCTGAGCGACTTGGCAGTATCGCGCTTACGTATAAATCGTGGACTTTTTTCTTTATCTAAAGGTTTATGTATTGCTATTTGCTTGGCACACAGTCTTAACTCAGATGTGTAAAAATAAATGCTAAGCTTGATTCGAATGAAGCCGGGAATACGGCGTACAGATTAAAAAAGGAGGGCTTGAGGGATTAAGCGTCATCGGGTCCTGATCCTGTTGTCTGACATAGGTGTAATGTACGCGAATTAATCACCTCCCATTTGTATATATGCACATACACAATACGTTCTTCATGCGCTGACGACAATGCACAAAGTGGTGAGATTCGGGAACAAAATCGTTTCTGTATTTCAGAACTCCTGCCGGGAACTGTAACGGTAGTTGTCGGATGAATGCCACCGTTTTAACAGGTAACGTGGAATATTCTGATGATAATAAATTTCCTGAGGATTTGTTATCAAGGAATATTAATTCCACCCAGGAAAAACAGCATGGTGCTTCAGAGAGGGAGCTCGTGTCGGTACGATATTTTGTTCAACGGCTGGTAGAATATTGATTAGGTTTTCAACTGTTATTTGTTGCTTCTTCATTCCATTTACATGTGACACGAGTAAAGTTGGAAAACAATGCAAGCCTCCCATTTATATGGATTGAACTGGTGGCGTTTATTGATAATCATTGTTGTGTTCTAAGTGGTGCACACTACGGTAGAGACATCTAACCTCGTTCTTCTGTTCGCATTCTAGGAACGTGTTTCTGCACCCACACATTTGACCACAATAGTGAATTGAAAATATCCCCTAACCGGATGTTAGAGCGTTTGCATCGTGGCTACCAAGCTCTACCAACAATTGATCATTTAGCTAACATACTCCAGGCTTATTGCATTCGAGTATTGTGAGCTACGCTCGTTCTTTCAACGTTATTAGCGGCTCACGCGTAAGAAAATAAAGGAATAACTTTCTTTATATATATATATATATATATATATATATATATATATATATA